TATTATTATTATTATTATTATTATTATTAAACCATAACTTTTAGAAGCTTTGATTGCATGCATGCCTACTGAAAAGGAAGCTCACTGAGATCAATGAGATTTACCGCCTGATCGGTGTCTATAGGATTGCTATGCTTAGCTGTGGTTACTTTGAAATGGATTGGATCCAGAGGGAATGAGGCTCCTCAGTAATTAAGCGATAAGAAATACTAAGTAGATTCATCGAAATGAGAGGAAAACACACTGGCAGCAGAGCTGTCTTAATCATGTCTTGCACTTGACATCTATTTCCTCTTGACATCTATTTCCTTATAATCTAAACTTTTAACTTCAAATCCCAAAAGTAGGAATGAAATTGATTTAATGATCCAAGCGGGTGTTTTCTTCAGTGGTGCAATCCATGTGAAGAAAATTTACAGTTTCTGCAGGTCAAAACCCACACATTGCAAGGGCCTTTCCTTGTAAATCTTCAAGATAGGTTTAGGATGGTTGCCGTTATTTTTATAACCTTTATCTGAACCATAACTTCCTCGCCAGGCACTTCATAATCTACCTTTGAGACCTCAAGTCCCCAGAAGCTAAACTATTCCTTTCAGCTTATTCTACTGTACAAAGCAGCCGCCCAGCAGCCCTGGGGGGGGGGGGGGGGGGGGGGGGGGGCTTTAGTGTTGGTTCTTCAGAGAACAGAGCCCATCTTTTATCATTCCTTGTGCTAAATGGAGATATAACCTTCCCTTAAGACCTAACTACATCCTCTGCTTCATGGGGGCCCAAGGATATACAATAGGCTTGACTGCTCTATCCCTTGAAACTTTGAAGGCAAAGCTAATTTTGAGCAATGGCTTGCCCTTTAGGAGAGCCCAGGACTCAAATGTTAAAATGCAATTTTAAAATAACAGGCTTGGCATGCAGTTGTCAGAGGTGCAGAGTACTCACAGTCACCAAGTTAACTTGGCACAGGCAGTAAAATAATAAAGTAAAGAACTCATCATGGCCTGACTTTTTATGACAAAGTCCCCAGTCCAACATCTCATCCATGTAACATAAATATTTGCACATGGAGATATGCTACCAGAGCATTACACAACCCCCATGCAGAATAGCAACATTTTGCAACACATTTCTATAATTGAGTGCTATTGCACAATGCACAATACACAGTGCACAACCATAATGCAATGTATTGGATGCACAAGCACTATGCAGAGTATAAGATGCATAACCACAGTGCCAAGTGTAGGATGCAAAACTGCAACACAATGCACAATTTCCCAAGACAAGGTAGAGATGAATATGCTATCTGCACAACTTCACTTTGGTTGCTACCAGCAGAACAAGTCCATTGCACAATGGAGATTTTGTTTGGTTCCGTATGTGTAATGACTTACAGAAAAGAGAATTGTAGCCAAAATCTGCCACCTGAAGTGGCTTCTTGCTCTTTCCGATAGTAGAGCTGGTCCTACACAATGACCTCACATAGTAGAAGGATGGCAAGATCCTACTGCATGTAGCTCAGCAAGCAAGGTGCAATGCAATTAATTTGGTAAAACAGTTCAAGCAAACATTAGCTGATCATTAGCTTAATTTGTCCTTGATCAGTGGCATAAAGGTGTTGTTTCATTGAAGTTGCCATGATTCCTCAATGTTTTTTTTAAATCCATCTAAATACCCAAAAGGCACCAGATCCCATATGATCTTGGAAGCTGCACAGGATCAGCCCCAGATAGTACTTGCATGGGGGACCACCAATGAATACCAGGTAGTGTGCCAGAGGAAGGAACTGGCAAAATCACGTCTTGAGTATTCCTTGCCTATGAAAACCAGATGAAATTTATGGGATAACCATAAGGTGACAGGCAACTTGAAGGCACACACACATAAGCTGATTATGCTTTACAAGTAAATCTCCTTTTCAAGAAGACAGGGTGAAGGAACATACATCAGAGCAATTGCAAATATGGGTTGAGTTCATAGGAAGTGAGGAAGCCTACACATACAGTTACATCTCAGGGAATGCGGCAGCCAGAAAAACAAGATTCTTTTTTTTCATAATGAAATTAAAGTAATGGATACACTGCTGATGATGTGTTATTTAAAAGCCTAATCTGCTCTTGAGTATTTCTCAGGAACCAGTAAACCTGCTTCTTGTTATTACAATAAGGACTGGAGGACTATTCTGCACTGATTTCAGATATTACACCAAAATACAATAAACATTTTATTCTCCTAGTCCAGAGGTGCTGTGAGACCCCAATGAGAACTGAGTGTCTCTCCCAAGGTTGTTTCAACTATAGCTCCTATCAGTTCAACCCACTCATAGCCAATAGGAGCTATAGTTCAGGTCGCCCATCCTCCATCCCTGCTGTAGGACATGGTGGTAGAGGATGAAGTGGAATAGGAAGAGGAAGAGGAGAAGGAGATAGCAAAAGTAGCAACACAACTTGGAGGTGAAGGAAGTAGGATCTGAGACTGTATATTTCTTATACCCCTTCAGAAAAAGTCCTCTTATCCCCCCAGAATCTTTTTCTAGCTAGAGTTATAATGTGCTTTCCATATTAGGCTGTAGTTTGTATGGGCTTCTGCCCATGTTTTTTTTTGTTTTGTTTTTTTTAGGGCATCTTTACCTAATGTAAAAGGATGAAGTGGCTCAAATGGTTAAGACACTGACTCTGTTGTTTGCAAGATCAGCAGGTTGGCAGTTCGAGGCCCGAGGGCTGCATGATGGAGTGATCTCCCATCACTAGTCTCAGGATATTATCACACGTGGCCCAGAAACTGAAAATAAAGTGGAAATGAGGCAT